TGTGTGTGGATGTGTGCCATGTGCGGCAGGTGCCCTTGGAGGCCGGGTGGGGGTGGAATCCCTGGGTGCTAGAGTTATAAATGGTGTGAGCCACCTGATATGAGTATTGGGAATTGAACCCCGGTCCTCTGGCAGAAGAGCCAGTGCTCTTAACCGCTAAGCTAATCTCTTCAGGCACTGAAATTTTCTTATCAATTTCCTGCCCTTCAACATCCTTTAATTCTCATGATATTGGAATACTGGAGTGCCTTAGAGAATGATGGAGCCATTCTCTTCTTAGGGAGCTAGAATCTTGGGAAACTCAACAGCTGCCCACCAAGGCTGCCTGGAGCCAATGGCTTTTGCAGTTCTCACCTCTCAGGTTCAGAGAATAAAACTTATGGACCAGAGAGAATGAGTTTTAGAAATTTGTTATAGATTCGTAGGTGGGAGATTAGAAAGGAGACAGGGAGGGAGAAAGCCAGCACAAACGCTAGAGCTGAGCCCCCGCACCTCGCGAATCGTCCCAGGAAACGGGGAACCAGCTGTTTCTCCGGGGACTTTTCAAAGCCCATACACAATAGTGCACACCTTTAATTGTAGTTTTCAGGAGGCAGAGGCAGGAGGATCTCTAAAGAGGTCTGCCTGGTCTTTACATAGTGAGTTCTAGGACAGTAAGGACTACATAGAAAGAAAATTAAATAGATAGATAGATAGATAGATAGATAGATAGATAGATAGATAGATAGATAGATAGATAAATAGAGTACTTATGAAAAACTAGGGTGCAGTAGGGGGAGGAGGGTGAGTTGGTTTGTCCAGTTAGCCCCAGCCTTCAGCACTAGGTGCTCATTTGGGGAATAACAAGCTGGAACTGAGCACAAAAAATGGGGCCTCTCATCCAGCCTTCCTGCCTCCTTAATGACAGTCAAGAAGTGGCTGCCTTGGGGTCCCAGCCTTGTGTGACCAGTTTGTGCTGCCTAGACCCGTCATTTCCTACTTCTGAAGAAGTAGCCCTAAACTCTTTAGGAACCAGACCAGGGACCAGAGCACCAAACACTTATCCTCTAGCCAGGACGGAACGAAGGTCAATACTGGCTTCAGGCTGAGGATGTGAACGGAGAACCCTGTCCAATCTGATCAGCATCTGTCTCCTGAACTTCTTCATCTATTTCTTATACACTGACAATTTTATAATCTCTCAGCTGCTTCTGAATTTCAATTGAAGTAGGGTCCCAACTCATCATCTCTCCTCTTTTTACTACCCAAGACTGTGGTTTAGCCACAGGGAGACTCTATACTCCCCCTCAGAGGAAAACATAAAGACCAGTTATCTTTAGTTCACTCTCCACACTTTCCCAAATATTTACAAGTTATCCTATCAATCAAACAAAACCGTCTGGTAGACCAGATGGCAATTTTTCTCAAATGGTTTCTCCTTTCGTCCATTTCTTGTTTTCTCCTTCCTTTCATTTCTTGTTTTGTTCAGTTTTGGTTTTTCAGATAGGGTCTCAAGTATCCCCCAGACTGACCCTGAACACGCTGTTCAAGAGTGTCCTTGAACTCTGGTCTTCTTGCCATCCAAGTGCTATATTGCAGGCAGACATGTTGTTCTTTAATTTACGTGTCCCACTTTTTCCTCTTCAAAATCACAACCTTCTGTTTTAACTGAAGGGTTATGCTTTGGACTGTGGACTTATGGGAGTCACTCACTCAGGTTTCACCCCAGGGCCAGTTTCTCCCGCTGGATTTAGAGTCCGTGCTGCATGTTTAGAGGGAACTCCGGGCTCTGGCTGCTCACCCCTTGTGTGTGTCTTTCTAGGTGAGTCATGAAAGGAACTTCTAACTAGAAATAAGGTATTTGGTTTCAGTTTTTATTTATTTATTTTTTTTTTTTAGGTTTTTCAAGACAGGGTTTCTGTGTGTAGCCTTGTCTATCCTGGACTCTCTTTGTACACCAGGCTGGCTTCAAACTCAGAGATCTGCCTGCCTCTGCCTCCCTAAGTGCTGGAATTACAGGCATGTGCCACCAAGCCTGGCTGGTTTTTTAATTTTTTTATATGTATTTGTATTGGGGGGATGGAACATACACATGCCATTTGTGTCAAAGTCACAAAATGGCAGGAGTCACTTTTCTCTTCCACTGTGTGCGCCCCCAAGACTGAACTCAGGTCATCAGCCTTGGCAGCAAGCACTTTACCTGCTGACCCATTTTGCCAGCCATTTTGCCAGCCATTTTGCCAGCCATTTTGCCCAACTCTAATTTTAGAGTTATGTTATTTTTTTGGCGGGAGGTCTCATTAGGAGGCCACCACATGTCCCAGGGTGATCCTTCTGACATCTCCACCTGCTGGGTTAGAAGAAACTCGGGGCCCTTTATTGTCAGCATCTTTGCAAACAGCCCTCAGAATTTCTAAACTAAATGGGACAAGGTTGCAATGAAGATGAGCAAGAGATTAGAAAATAAAGTTAGATGTTGGAGGAGAAGCAGGAGAAAAAAGGCCAAATGCTAGCAACAGATGTCTTGAAAGAATATTTTGAAAAATAATAGGATGTCCAACATAACAACCAGCTTAGAATAAACCAACAAGCCATCAGCCAAAACAAAAAGCAGGAGAGAAGGCATGCAGGTTCCTGGGAGGACTCACCGTTATCCACCCATGGGTGGTGAGGCTGGTGCTGGTGCCTGGTGCCAATCCTGATGACTCCTCAGGTAAAAACGAATTATCTCTCCCATACCCCAGTTCTTGGTCCAGAGGGAATAAGAGACACTTCTAAGCCAACCATGAGTACCCATAACTGGGAGCAGAGATTCAGGCTGTCCCTAATGGCATGTGGAGGAGCTGACACGAACTTTTTATAGACACAAAACAAAAGAAAGCCATAAAGCCTCTGCATTTACCAAGCACATCAGTGGGGACATAAGGAAGGCAGTTTTATAGGCTTCAGATGTTGTCTTCTGATAGTCTAAGCTTTGGTGGGAACCGGTGGTCTGCCAAGCTTAACAATACATCCCCAAATTGTCCCTAAGAGTCACAAAGATGTGACCTCAGATAGAGCTAGTGCATGGCTGTTAAAGGGAACTAAAGATAGCCCAGCCTAATCCTGTGCAACATTCAAATGTCTCTTCCCTACCTAAGGTTGCAGTTCAGCCGACAGAACGCAGCATCTTCAGGCCAGACATGGCTTCCTCGGGGAACATCAGTTCACACTGCTTCCTAGGACAGGAAGAAAACAGTGTTTTGTTTTGTTTTGTTTTGTTTTGTTTTGTTTTGTTTTGTTTTAAATATAAAGTCTTGCCCTAAAGAACCACCCCCACATCCCTCGAGTCCCCGAAGGTCCTATCTTCTACTCAATCTTTGATACAGGAAATATTTGTTGAATGCCTGTATGTGTTAGGCAGGGCTAGGGATACTGCAATAAACCAAGCCAACAGTTGCTCTATCACCTGATGCTGCCTTATCCCTCTCAGGCCTGTCTACTTCCTGATTATCTGATTTTACCCTCATTTGCATGGAGGTACGAAGAATCCAGCTCTCCTCTAGAGTGCTCACCATGGCATCCTCAAACAGAGAACCAAGTCCTGTTTACAGTGGGAGCTCTCTAACAGAGAGGGGCTGCTAGCTCAGCGGGAGAGTGATTGCCTAGCTTGCACAAGTCCTTGGACTTCGAAACCTTAATACTTGCTACACCACCTGTTTCAGACTGAATGCAAACACGTGGCTGTTAAGTCCTGGCAAACGGCCCTCCTGCAGGTGCAGGAAAGGGCTGTGGACTCAAGGAGCCACTGGCAGGTACGCGAGAGGCCTGAAGTCTGCAGCTGTACACCTGTGGGTCTCAGCCCCCTGCGGTCGCACATCAGATGTTTACAGTACGATTCACAACAGTAGCAAAATTACAGTTATGGAGTAGCAACGAAATAGTTTTAGGGTCCCAGCATTAAGAACGAATGGAGCTAGGAAAAGAAGGGTTCATGAGGCCCCAAGCCTCTCTGAGGCCATGATGGTCCCTGGGAGAGAGAGAGAGGCATGAAGGCTCCTGTAAACAGATCTCGACTGAGACCCTGTAAGCAACCCTAATGAAACTCATCTGGTCCTCAAAATCCATTAACAAACTAGTAATTAATTAAGTAATTAATACATGAAAGCAGAAGGACTAGGTAAGGAGAGGAAAGGCCTCAGAGAGGGAAACGAGAGAGAGCAGCCGGTTGAATATGATAAAAATCCGTTGTGTGTGTGTGTGTGTGTGTGTGTGTGTGTGTGTATGAAAATGCCAGAATGAAACTCATTATACATCTAATTAACATACGCTAATAAAAATAAATTAGGGCTGGGAGGTGACCCAGTGGACAAGCACTTCCGGTAAGGACTGGCATTCATAGCCCCAGAGCACTTGTAAGGAAGACAGGAGACCCCTGGGGCAAGCTGGTCAGGCGGAGGAGGGAAGAGAGCAGGACATCAGCTCCACCTGCCTGCCAACCCAAAGTCTGAGCGCCCGCACACACGCGCGAATGCACGCACAGAATAGCCGGATATACGGACATCCCCTCAAAAACTTACTCTATTTAATTTAAAGAATGAGTCAACAAACCGGGGTTGGTGGGGTATGCTTTTAATCCCACCTGTGAGCAGGGGAGGCAGGAGGATTAAGAAACCCAAGGTCAGGTTTAGCTGCACAGAGAATTCCAGGCCAGCCCCGGGCTACCTGCGACCCCGTTTCAAAACAAAACAAAAGAACGATTCAGCCAGTACAGACCGCCCTGGGTCGGATAGCTACGTGTCGGAGCCTTGCAATCTAGGGACAGCGGAACGTCAAGTCCCTCCTCCTTGGTGGCAGTAGGAGGCCGAAGGAAACTGCCTCCAAGACCGCACTGGCACGCATCACGCACACCGAGGTGAGCAGGGGAGGCAGGGGCCGTGGAGAGCCACGCAGGGCCACCGCCCCGCGAGGTGTGGCCGCCGCTGCCAGCCAAAGTCTCCGGCTCCCAGGTTCCTGTTTGCCTGCTTCGCCCCACCTGGGGCCCAAGGTGCCGCCTCCGCCCTCTGGACCCCGGGGAAGCCTGGGCGACCTGGGAGATCCGTTCCCGCGTCGGTGTGGGACGCAGAAACTGAGGTGGGGAGTGACGCCTGGCAGGAGGTCGTCCCGCCCCCTCCGCCCCTTCTCATAGAGAAGGGAGCCGCCCGCTCCCGGCCCTAACTCGCCCGGCCGCGAGGAGCCCGCAGGAGGCGGAGACCGAGGCGACCTGCAGAGATGGAGGCAGCCAGCACCTGGGCGCTGCTGCTGGCGCTCCTGCTGCTGCTGCTGGCGGCGCTGGCGCTGCCCAGGACCCCGGGCCGAGGCCGCCTGCCCCCGGGGCCCACGCCGCTGCCGCTGCTGGGGAACCTCCTGCAGCTGCGTCCTGGGGCGCTGTACCCCGGGCTCTTGCGGGTGAGGGGACGCGGGGACATCCTAACAGGGGATGGGGGGGCTATCTTAGGAAAGAGGCAGAAGCAGGGGTCCTCAGGGCAGAAAGACTAAGAATGTCTTGAGCTGGAGACTCAAACAAGTTGACCTGGGCTGGGCAAGGGAAGGGAGGGTGTCCAGGTTAGCAAGGGCAGAGCTCACTCAGTCCTGGAGGGGGACCAGGGGGAAGGGATCCCAGAGGGGCAGGGGCAGGTAGCGCTGGGCTGTGAAAGAGAGGGAATGCCCGGGAAGGGGGACTAGAGCTGGGAGGGAAGAGCTCACAAAGGTCTAGAAAGAAATGAGAGCAGGACCCAGAGGGCCAGGGGTCCCAGGTCGCTGGAAAGTTAGTGAGCTGGACCGAAGCTGCAGGACACATATTCTCTAGACCAGCGTGGTCGTGGGCGAGCTCAGCGTCCCGGCTTCCCCCTCCCCTCACCCTCTGGAAGGGAAGCATCCGGAGGCTGGAGGGGGCTGAGCAGAGAACATCCTGGGCTGGAGGAATCTGCCTCGGAGGCTCCCGGAGTGGGAGGATGGGTGTAGCGCAGCTAGGAGAGAGCTGGAGTTCCTGCCACCGGGTGGGAGGACGGAAAGGCAGTCCCAACTTGCAGGCGGGAGTAGGGGGCGAAGTTCTCCATTCAAGAATATTCTGAGGGGCTTTCAAGGACAAACGGGGGGGGGCACACGATCCAGGGCAGCTGCTGTGGAATTTAAGGGCTTGGCAGAGGTTGAAATGGGTAGCCGAATATTGAGGGAGATAATGGGAAACCAAAGCTGTTTGGTTTGGATGAGAGGATAGAGCCTTGAAGGACATGAGAAGGAAGGCAAAAGGTGTATTTAAGAGGCGTCCACTCATCAAGGTGGTAGCTTAAAGCCCTTAATCCCAGCATTGAGGAGGCAGAGGATCTCTGTGAGTTCGAGGCCAGCCTGGTCTACAGAGTGAGTTCCAGGACAGCCAGGGCTACACAGAGAAACCCTGTCTGGAAAAAAAAGGGAGGGGTAGGGTTCCTGCTCCCTCTCCACACAAAAAAGAGAAAACAGCTTCCCCACGGGATACTTTAACTTGGGGCTGGGAATGGACCAGATATTGGTATAGAGGCAAGGCTTGGACTGGCTGGCAGAGCAGCTCCCTGGAGCCAGTCTCCACCCTCTTCTCCCCTCTGCCCCCAGCTAAGTAAGAAATACGGGCCTATGTTCACCGTACACCTAGGCCCCTGGCGCCGCGTGGTGGTGCTGGTCGGGCATGAGGCGGTCCGAGAGGCCCTGGGAGGTCAGGCTGAGGAATTCAGCGGGCGGGGAACGCTGGCAACGCTGGACAAGACTTTTGATGGCCATGGTGAGTCATGAGGGCAAATGGGGGCTGCTGGGCCCTGCCACAGTTACAGATATGGAGGGGGTGGGGTTTGTTGGTTGGTTGGTTGGTTGGTTTGGGTTTTTTTGTTTTGTTTTGTTTTGTTTTGTTTGGTTTTTTTTTTTTTGTTTTTGTTTTTGTTTTTGAGACAGGATTTCTCTGTGTAGCCTTGGCTGTCCTGAAACTCACTATGCAGACCCAGTTGACGTCAAACTCAGAGATCCGTCTCCGTCTGCCTTCCAAGTGCTGGGGTTAAAGGCTTCTGCCACCCCCCCCATCCCCCACCCCCTATGGAGGTGTGTGTATTTTTTTAAGGTGACTTAATGCCCCTCTTTCTGTGAAATGGATATATGTGCAGTCACTTAGGGTTGTACCACAGATCACGTGGAAACTGGGCTGTGTCAAGTGAGTGCTTACTCAGTAATTGCTAACTACTATGATAATAAGCACCACTCCCCAGTCTATTAATTGATTGATAGGCAAGCACTCACGGCACAGAAGCTTCACCGTATGTGGAGATCCATGTCTGCAGCCCCAGCATTTGGTAGGCTCAGGCCAACCTGGGCTACATAGTGAGTTTAAGGCCAGCTTGAACTACACATACCAAGACAGTGTAATCCTGACTTGAAAAAGCCAGGACTAAAGATATGTAGTTCAGTGGTAGGGCATGTACAGAACCCACCAGTGATGGTTGCAGGCCTTATTCAGTGGAGAGCACCTGCCTAGAACCCCCCAGTGAGGGGCTGGGGAGTGGCTCAGTGGTGGAGCCCCTGCCTAGAGTCACCCAGTGAGGGGCTGGGGTGTGACTCAGTGGTAGAGCCCCTGCCTAGAATCCCCCAGTGAGGGGCTGGGGTGTGGCTCAGTGGTGGAGCCCCTGCCTAGAATCCCCCAGGGAGGGGCTGGGGAGTGGCTCAGTGGTGGAGCCCCTGCCTAGAATCCCGAAGTGGGGGGCTGGGGTGTGGCTCAGGGGTAGAGCATCTTTCTAGAAGCCCCCAGTGAGGGCAAGGCTCAGCAAAATATTTTTCTGGAATTCACCAATGAAGGGCTGAGGGGCGTGTCCTCCACCCAGCTTGTGTAAAGCCATGGATTCCATGCCCAAGCCAAATGAGAGAAAAGAAGGTCAGGGGCCCCCGAAATGCAGAAATAATTCTTCCTGCTAAAATGGAAAGCATGCATAGCAGGCCTGGCGGCCTGGCTTCACTCTCCAGCACCACAGAAAAGCATAGCGGTGACTAAGACAGCCCAATGCCTGCTTCCCCTAGAGCACCCAGACAGACCTGTCACCAGACAGTGACCTCTCAGAGGACTGGCCAGGATGGGAGGGGCAGACGAGTGGGAGGTGAGGAGAGGGGAACTGAGGATTCTAGGAATCCACAGGCAATGCTTCACCTACCCTACTGGCTGAGGGATGCCCAGGAAGCCTCCAGGAACAGAGGATGTCCAAGCTGAGGCTCCTGAGCTAGAAGGGAAGTTGTGTCCGGGTGAAAGGATCAGCGTGTGCACAGGCATGGTGGAGAGAGAAGAACAAAATCTTTCACAGGTCGTCTCCCTGTACCTGGCCCTCTCCGAGGCACTGAGGTCACAGAGGTGACCAAGGCAGACGCTGGGTCTTCTCACCGTGAGAGGCCTGTGACAAAAGGACATAGTGAGGGGATAGAATTCTAAAATGAGAAGTTCAGTTTTGAGAACAGGACACAGAGTGGGGGAGGGGCACACTGGATCGGGTAGGGCTGGACGTCTGAGCTGAACCGAAACGGGCGAAGGGAAGAAGCTGAGAGTAGTGGCTCCTCGGGCTTTCACCCAGGCTGAGTCAGGAGACTTGCTGGGAGTATAGGCCAGCCTAGGCTACACAGCAAGACTGTCTCAAAATAATAATAATAATAATAATAATAAAAGGATGGGGGCAGGCCAGATGGCTCAGCAGTTAAGAAGACCTGCTGTTCCCGTGGAGGACCTGAGCTTTGCTCCCACCAACCACACTGGGCGGCTCATAAAAGCCTGTAGCTCCAAGGATCCTTCTCTGCATCTCCAGGCACCTGTGCACATGTGATCATGTATACACACGCATACACAGAATAAAAAGTAAACCTTTTAGAATAAGCAAAACCATAGGCTGCAGCTAGGGATGTACTTAAGTGATAGAGTCCGCACAGAACCCCCCCGTGAGGGGCTGGGGTGTGGCTCAGTGGAGAGCTCCTGCCTAGAATCCCCCAGTGAGGGGTGGGGTGTGGCTCAGTGGCAGAGCCCCTGCCTAGAATCCCCCAGTGAGGGGTGGGGTGTGGCTCAGGGGTAGAGCTCCTGCCTAGAACCACCCAGTGAGGGGCTGGGGTGTGGCTCAGGGGTAGAGCTCCTGCCTAGAATTCCCCAGTGAGGGGTGGGGTGTGGCTCAGTGGTAGAGCCCCTGCCTAGAATCCCCCAGTGAGGGGCTGGGGTGTGGGTCAGGGGTAGAGCAGCTTCCTAGAATGCCCCAGTGAGGGGCTGGAGAGAGACATGACTCATCGATAAAGGACTTAACATACACAAAGCCCTAGGTTAATGTCCAACAGCCCCTAAAGGAATGGAGGGCCATGAGCATGATACAGACAGAGGAAACAGCAAGGCCCCAGGTGGGGATGGGAGCTCATGATGCCCTTGAGGAAATGAGAGCGGTTGTAGTAGGTGATTAATACAGCTTAAAGTCAGCGTGGCTCTGGTCACTCGGCAGGCCTGTGAATCACACCAGAGCAGCTGGGCTCTGGTTTTCTGAGATCTGTGCATTTTCAGCAGGGAAAGACTGTGAAGTGAGTAGAACTGAAGGCTAGAAGCCCAGGGGAGGGACCAGCTGGACCCGGACAGGGGCTAAGGTCGGAGAGAAATGGTATTTGGAAGAGACGAGAATGTGGGAGACCTAGGGCCCCCATCAACAGCCAAGGGTCGGATAGTGGGGCTGAGGTGGGGCAGGAGACACCTCAAAGCTGGTTTCAGACGTGGGAGGGGTGAGGACAGCTTCCCACTGCCACTCCAAGCCAGCCTTCAGCAAGTGCCGCAGCGCTGGGCTCAGAAGGGGAGTTTGTGCAGAGCGGGCATCTTGGGTAAAGGGAAAGACTCTGTTCATGTTCTCACCGTGGGCTCATCGGCCCGAGGTACTCCAGATATGCCAGGATGAGCAGATGGGATGAAGAAGGATAAAAAGTCATACATTCAGGAGACTGTCTCCTCTGGCTTATGCTCAAAGAAAAAAGAGCTAATTCAATTATGTACTTAAGGGGCCCTGGGGGCGTCTCAGTGGGAGGAAGGGGCCAGTCCCTTCTTGAGTCTAGCCTTCTGTGCAGGGGTTTTCTTTGCCAATGGGGAGCGGTGGAAACAGCTGAGGAAGTTCACGCTGCTGGCTCTGCGGGACCTGGGCATGGGCAAGAGAGAAGGCGAGGAGCTGATCCAAGCGGAGGTGCAGAATCTGGTGGAGGCCTTTCAGAAGACAGAAGGTCAGTGGGGCGGGGCCAACGGATCCTTCCAGCCAAGAGGAAGAGGAACTGGGTGGTGGTGAATGTGCTGGGGGAGGGGGACGACTTGGAGGTGGGGTGTCTGTGCTCACCTTACTGAGGCAGTCCTTTAGTCCCTGGAGGGCCACTAGGGCAGGGCAGCGCTCTGTCCCTGAGCAGGTTCTGTCTCTCCTCCCCCTCCCTTCCTCTCTTTATCACCCAACTACTTTGTCTAGTTTTGTTTGAGACGGAGGAATTTCACTAGTTAGGCTGGGCTGGCCTGGAACTACTTGCTAATTAGTCCTTCTGCCTCAGTCTCTGAGCACTGGGAGTACAGGTGTGAGCTAGGCTCCTTTTGTTTCCGTGTGTGTGTGTGTGTGTGTGTGTGTGTGTGTGTGTGTGTGTGTGTGTTAAATACTGTTTATTTAATATTATATATAAACCACAGCAAGTGGCTTTCAGTGGTAAAAGGCAGCGTCCTTGGCATAGGGAGTTCTAATTAAATTGGCACAGTCAAGATTAGCCAGTTGCTTCCTGGGCATTTAACCACTGGCTGTAACCGGCCGGCGAGCACAGACTGAAACACAGGCCTTCTTATTTCTGAGACAGTGATAGAATGTCCCCGTATATGAACGTGTTCATTTGCCCAGTTAAATAAATCCTAGGATAAGACCAGCGTAGTGTTGAGGAGGCCCCCCATCTCTGGAAAGTAGACCTCTAAGTCCGATCTTGAGAGAGCAGTAATAGAATATATGCAGCTGGGGTTGTAATTTAAATAATAATAATAATAATAATAATAATAATAATAATAATAATAATAATAATAAATGATGGCATCCCTTGACTGCAGGTCAGTTTTAGATCAGCACTGCCCCACAGAAACACTGTTTGCCATTCATGATCTGAATTTTGGTGTATGGATTGGATCATGGTACACACTAAAAGATACTTTAGACATTTGTTTTGCAATAACTAAGGTGGTGGAATTGCTCATTAGTAGCCTTTTTTAAGATAAGCTTTAGGTGTGCCCTTTCTCCCCTCTTCTTAGGCCAGCTGAAGTCATTTTTGTCTCAGATAAGTAGTTCTTGGGATTCTCCAAATACCCCATCAGGATGTCTCTCCCTGGGTGGCATCCGTGTAGGAGAACCCGGCAACCTGGCCTGTCCACCACCCAAACAGGCCATGGAGATTTGGCCCAGGCTTATGCTTCCCCCTTCACAGTGTGGCCTGTACACACTCTGAACAAAAACCTTCTTGCCTTTCTCATCATCACTGTTTTTAATTCGCCCCCACATGGTCGACGCCACAAAGGCTACACCCCAAAGACAGGCGTCCGGCTCCCTCTCCTTTCCTTTTTGTTTGACACATGGTCTCACTCTGTAGCCCTGGCTGTCATTGAACTCCCAGCAATTCTCCTGTCTCACCTCCTCCAGGGCCAGGATTACAGGTGCGAGCCACCACACCTAAGCTCTAATTCTCTCTCTGCCTCTTTTCTGGGTCTAATCCTGTCTTCTCTCTCTCCCCCTGCCTTCCATGCCTCCCAGGACGCCCGTTCAACCCTTCCATGCTGCTGGCCCAGGCCACCTCTAATGTCGTCTGTGCCCTCATGTTTGGCATCCGTTTGCCCTATGAGGACAGAGAGTTCCAGGCTGTGGTCCAGGCAGCAAGCGGCACCTTGCTGGGGATCAGCTCCCCGTGGGGCCAGGTAAGTGGGTGCCTTCTTCAGCCTGGGAGCCTCCTGCGGAATGCCCTGGGCACGAGCTGTCTGCCCGCACCCACAGGCCTTCGAGATGTTCTCCAGGCTGCTGCAGCCCCTTCCAGGCCCACACACCCAGCTCCAGCGGCACCTGGGCACCCTGGCTGCCTTCGTTAGTCAGCAGGTGCAGCAGCACCGGGGAAGCGTCGTCACCTCGGGCCCTGCGCGTGACGTCGTGGATGCCTTTCTGCTAAAGATGGCGCAGGTGTGGAAACTTGGGGGAGGAAAGGGTCCCTCTCAAAAATGGCTACTGGCCTAGCCCACAGTCCATCTGTTCAGGGGCTGCTGAGTCCTTGGCCCCGGGATGGACTCAGGATTGGACTCTGGAAAGGTCTTATTTTGCTAGGGAAAGAGATCATCCCTTCTTGATTCTGGCCTCCTATCTACACAGAGCTTTCCTCAGGGCCTCAGAGCTCCTGAGGACCGCCATTAGTCTCTTCTCTTTTTATTTTGGTGAGATATCATCTTACTCTGTAGCCCAGGCTGGCCTGGAACTCACTCTGCCGCCCAGGCTAGGCTGGAACTTGCATAGACACCCCTGCTTCTGCCTCCCATCGCTAAGGCACGAGGTCTGGTTTTAGCTCTCTTTCTCTACCTACATGTCTCTGCGTAGGAAACGCAGCCCAGCCGGCTGAGTCCTGTCTGCCATACAGGAAGTCCAGGGTTCTGCCTCTAGTGCCACATGACCTGGGTGTGGCGGCTCACACCTGTGATCCCAGCACCTGGGAGGCAGGGGCAGGGGGACAGAAGGTCCTCTTCAGCTACATAGCGAGTTCCAGGCCTGTCTGGGCTACAAGTGCTCCGAGTCCAGCTGTCTGCGCTCGATCCCCAGGGATCCACCAGTGGACAGAGAGAACCAGCTCCTGTAAGCTGCCCTGTGACCTTCACATGCATGCTATGGCACACACATGCCCACATATAAAATTAAAAAGATTTTTTTTTTAATCTTGAGTCTCAGCTGGCAGTGGTGGTGCACTCCTTTAATCCCAGAACCATGGAGGCAGAGGCAGACGGATCTCTGAGTTTGTGGCCAGCCTGGGCTACAGAGTGAATTCCAGGACAGCCAGAGACACAGAAAGACCCTGTCTGGGAAAACCACACACACACACATAATAATCACCTTCCAGAACCTATATCCCACTTAAGTAACACTTCCTAGTTTCTCAACCTGTCCCAAACATTTATTTCAATACTCAGGAGAAACAAGACCCAGGCACAGAATTCACGGAGAAGAACTTGCTGATGACGGTCACATACCTGCTGTTTGCCGGGACCATGACCATTGGTGCCACCCTCCGCTATGCCTTTCTGCTCCTGCTGAAATACCCTCAAGTCCAACGTAAGAAACTGCCCCGGCCGGGCCGGCCCCAGGAACCCAAGTGTGGGTTCCAGAGGACAGCGGTGCAGGGAGTTGAAAAAGAGCACGGAGTTCAGGGGTCCGCAAGCTGGGAGGGCTTCCGGAACTCTGATCACAGTGCGAGACGTGGGGAGGGGCAGGACGTGTCTGTGGCACCTTGTCACTACGTACTGTGCCTTGTCCCCAGTCAAGGGCAGCCAGAGAAGAAGTGATTAAATTTGCCTTTTATTGTATGGGGATTTGGGAGGGGTTGGGGGGGTTTGTTTTGTTTCTTTCTTTCTTTTTTTTTTTTTTTTTTTTTTTTTTTTTTTTGAGATAGGGTTCTCTGTGTAGCCTTGGCTGCTCTGGACTCACTCTATAGACCAGGCTGGCCTTGAACTCACAGGGATCCCCCTGCTTCTGCCTCCTGAGTGCTGGGATTACAGGCGTGCGCCACCACGCCCAGCTTATGAATTTATTTATTTTATTTGAGATAGGGTCATACTCTGTAGCCCAAGCTAGCCTCCTACTTACTAGCCCAGGCTGGTCTCCAGCTCAGCGTCCTGGCTCAGCTTCCCACGTGCTACGTTTGTGGATGTGAATTACCACACTCGGCTGAAAGCTGTATCTTGGACGATCTTTGCACTGCCACGTCGGAACGAGTCGTAGGAGCTTGTAACTTCGTGGCAGCACTCTTGCCTAGAATCTCGGGAGGGTGGAGGGGTCCTCTGGTGAGAGGGGGCCTGGCTCCGGGGAAGAGTGACTGCCCAGCATCCATCAGGCTCTGGGTATCATTCCCAGTTACCACGCCCCAACACACCACACACACACACACACACACACACACACACACACACACACACACACGCTGGATTGTAAATGGTGGGAGGATGCCAAGCATTCCGGAAGGCAGACAGAGACCTGAGCAAGTAGGAAGACAGGACTAGGCCAGGCTGTGCAGACATGGGGCAGAATAGCTAGCTGTGGAAAACGAGGAAGGGCTTGTCCAGGGGCAGACCTGAGTGGCTAGCTAGGAGGCTGAGGGCAGTGGCCTCACCCTGAGCTAGAGACAGGATGGATGAAGATGGAGCTGGTTTCAAAGGGCAGACGCTGAACTGGGACGGGGGCTCGTGCTTGTAATCCCAGCGCCCAGAAGACCCGAAGCAGCACGCCTGCTGCTAGTTCGAGGCCAGCCTTTTCTACATAGGGAGTGCCAGCCTTGGCTCTGTAGCAAGGCTTGGAAAGTCACCTTGGAAGGGCCTATGCCCACAAAAGGAGAGGAATCCAAACTCCACAAGACACTGGATCAGGATGGCAGATTACAAATCATTATCAGTGCTAGGGAGCTGGCTCAGAGGGTAAGAGGCTTGTTGTGCAAGCATGGGGACCTGAGTTCAAATCTCCACCACACATAAAAAGCTTAGCATGTTTGTAACCCCAGCACTAAGGGAGGAAGGGCCAAAACAAGAGAACCCCTGGGATTCGCTGGCTGCCAGCCTAGCTCCACGTTCAGTGAGAGACCTGTCTCGGTTTCTCTGTGTGGCCCTGGCTGTCCTTAGACCAGGCTCTCAAACTCACGGAGATCCGCCTGCCTCTGCTTCCCAAGTGCTGGGATTACAGCTGTGGATACCACAGCCGGCCTGAGAGATGCTGTCTTAAAGGAATAAGATGGAGTAAAAGAACAGGGCGTTGACATCCTCCTGGGCTTGTGTGCACACACCCATGACCCCTACCCTACGAGTGGAGTCATCAGCCAGGTGTGCACACCTGTGTGGCAGCACTTAGCAGCTGTGAAGCTTGGCTACACATTGAGTTACACTCTAGCCTGGGCTATAGTGTGAGACCCTGTCTCAAAACAGACTAGCCTGCAGTAGTGAGGGAGGGCAGAGGGGTAACCCTCTCCCACCCTTTCCCCCGCCCCCCAGCTTCCCAGGAAGTCAGTGTTTCCAGCTAAATGCCTGGTGAAATAGCCCAGCCCAGGCAGCACTTCCAGACTCGGCTATGACTTTGAGTGAATGACTTGGCTCTAGGGGCCTCGGTTTCCTCATCCAGGAGGTGTGGATCAGTAATGGTAATGCACGCCTTTAATCTCAGCATTTGGGAGGCAGAGGCAGGAGGGTTTTTAGTTTACGCAAGTTCAGACCCAGCACAGGATGAAGGCCAGGCCCACGCTGCTCCTAGCCTGCCAGCCTCGCCAAACCACTGCTGCACAGCGTGAGGCTCCCAGGGTCCGTCCCACCCTGAGCGCCAACCCTCCTCTTGCATGCAGGGCGAGTGCGGGAGGAGCTGACCCGGGAGCTGGGTCCCGGCAGGGCGCCGGGTCTGGGCGATCGCGATCGCCTCCCTTACACGGACGCAGTCCTGCACGAGGCACAGCGGCTCCTGGCACTGGTGCCGCTGGGAATGCCTCACACCCTCACGGCGACCACTCGCTTCCGGGGATACACTCTGCCCCAGGTAGGTGTGTGGCGTGGCGTGGCGGGAGCAGTCATCTCTGCCCTGGGCGACCAACCTAACCCCTTTCTCTGTGGCCTCCACTGAGAGACAGTTCAGGCATACAACCACCAGGGGGCGATATATTCCCAATCCTGCGAGAACATCCGCAGAGGCTCCTTCTGGAATCAAATCCTTCTGCTGGCGGAACCTGTTTTCTTAGCTGGGGCTTGAACATACTGTTCCATCCACTGAGCCTCAGCCGATTAATCAGCCTCTACTAGATTAGGAATAATAATAATGCTCATTTGCACTTGTAAGATGACCCTTGCAGACACCCGGCTCTTTGGGGTGGGTAGGTGCCTGTGTGTACATACAAAGGACAACCACGCTGTCATAACATGTTAACATTGTGTCAGCTATTGTTCTGAGTGCTTTCTGTAGTGTTAAAACAATCCTGTGTAATTACCACACCCATTTTACAGATGGAGAAACTAAGATTTGTATATAGGTGCCTAGCTGGAGAGTGGAAAGAACCCAAAACCTACCTTCAGAATTTCCTGTTATTTACTAACAGTCCCAAGGTGCTTTCCCTGCAGCTCCTTCACCTTCCCAGCTCACACCTGAAGGCCAGACTCCCTAGCAGAGAACTCTGTGCCCCTCCACTCCAACTCCCCTACCTGCCCTCAGCCCCGAGAATACGCAAGCTGGTCTGGCCTGAAGGGATGCAGTCCTCCCCGCCTGTGGCCTTCACAGACGGCTCTCCCCCACACACCCTCTAGTTTGCCTCCCTGAGACATTCCCCAGAGAGCCGGCTTCGTACAGCCAGGACTTAATCTCTCCATCACAACATACTCACAGAACTTCAAAACAGTGTAAAAATAACACGCTCTGCCAGGCTTCCCTGGAGGTGTCCTTCGGCTACGGCCTAAGTTCTCCGGGCCTTAGTGTACCCCTCCTTTTTATGTTTCTCCCTCCCCGCCATGTGGGAAGAGGGTTGAACCCAGGGCCCCGCACACAAGTATTCGACCACTGGCTTACATTCCAAGACAAACACCCGTTTTCTTTTTCTTGTTAAGTAGCCCCGGCTGGCCTTGAACTTGCAATCTTGCTATCATCCTCTCTGTGCCGAGATTACAGGCATGTGCCACCATCTCCAGAATCTCTGTCTTTAAACTGGGCATACTGCTGTCTCCTTCCTGGACTTATTCCAGAGAGTCAGGGTAAGAGGAAAGGAGGCAGGCCGCTGCGTGCACCTGTTCTATACAAGGCAGTGAGCGTGAACACCCAGGTGTCCCACGTGGGGGCAGATGCCTGCTGTGCCAGCACCCCGACACTGAGGCAGCAGAACTGCAGTCCAAGGCTAGCCTGGGCTACACAGTGAGACCCTGTCTTGAAAGAAGGTAGGAGCAAAGGGGAGAAGGGAGAGAGGGTGACTGACACAGAGTTTAATAAGAGTGCACAGTGCTCTAGAAGAGGACCCACGTCTGGGTCTCGGCCCCCGTGTTGGGTGATCTGACGCTCCTGGCACCCATGAGTATCCACACACACAGTCCCCACCGGCACATGTGCACGCGTCATTTAAAACACTAGAATAAAAAAAAATCTAAATACAAATAAATCTCTTTTAAGATTTTAATGTTTAGTCAAGGTATGTTAAAGGCATCATCACCGCAGAACACCGGCCGTATGAGTTTTCACCCTGTCTCCTCAGGGCACTGAGGTCTTCGCCCTTATTGGCTCTGTACTGCATGACCCCGAGGTTTTCGAGAACCCGGAGGAGTTCAATCCAGGTCGCTTCCTGGACACGGATGGCCGGCTGAGGAAGCACAAGGCCTTCCTGCCTTACTCCTTAGGTACCTGCTGGGCTTTGGGGTAGTTAGGGGGTGTCAGTCCGGTCTCTGTGGGCTCCCCCTGTCCTGTGGGTCCAGATGTGAGCACAGCTGACTCAACCCTTTCCTGCCAGGGAAGCGAGTGTGCCTGGGGGAAGGCCTGGCACGGGCGGAGCTATGGCTCTTCTTCACGGCCATCTTGCAAGCCTTCTCCCTGGAGACCCCGTGCCCACTGGGTGATTTGAGCCTGCAGCCAGCTGTCAGTGGGCTTTTCAACATCCCTCGAGACTTCCAGCTGCAGGTCCGGCCCACTGGAGACCAGGCCAGATGAAGGAAGGAACTTGGAAGGTGGAAGTCACCTGGCAGACACAGCCTCAGGGGTGTGTGTGAACCAGGCGTCCACACCACAGGTCACGTGTCCGGGCAGCTGCCACACCCGAGGACCGAAGCCCCTGTCCAACCACACAGCAGCTGATGCTTAAGCTTTTTTTGGAGAGGGCTGCCTGACCCACGATCCTGCTCTGTGGCACAAGCTGGTCTCAACCCTGTGATCCTCCTGCCTCTGAGTGCTGAAATTGCAGGTGTGCGCCCCCAGGAGCTGCTTTCGGCCGACAGAAATGTAGCATAGACCACCTGGAACCACAGCACATAACCAGCTACCCACCATGGCTCTGAGCCCCCAACCCCGGCCCCGCTGCCACCTGCTCAGACACACACAGCCTAACCATGCTCAGGACTCTGACTTCCTCCTTCTCTGCCACACTCAGCTGGGCCCCTGCCACAGAAAACAGCCTGCCCCAGCTGGGGTCGTGTCGAAGCCAGCACACTGCTCTGGCTACTCCCGTGGATGACCTCACCGTGCAGGAACTGGCTACCTCTGTCAAGGGCTGCCATCCAGCCACACCGCCAGGCCGCTCTTGACTTGGCTCTTCCACTGAGACACCGTGACACCAAGTCTGCTCCCGGCCGCCTTCACACCCTTGTTCCTCCAGCACGCTCCTTCCAGCAAATTTTCCCAAATTTAAATGTTTCCTGCTCTGTAACTGTGCACACAGACGTCATACAAATGAGGACCAGCTACCCTAAGAGAAAACGTCCCCAGTCATGTTTGTATAAAATCGTGTTATCAGGGCCCTGCTTTCAGACATATCCTGACCCGGGCAGGGTACCCTGGAAGTGTGGCTCAGAGTTAGAGCCCTGGCCTAGCATTCGAAAAGCCCAGACATCAATCCCTAACACTGCTCAAAAACCAGAAATTTAAACATCTCTGCTAAGCCATTAATCAGCCCTTCCCCCGAAGCACCAGATGACCCACGGGGACGGGTTCTGCCCCTCCATATCAGGATGGAGGAGGCCGTATTTGACCTCTGGGTGACTTGAAAGTCCCCATTTTGCAATAAAAGTTTGTTTCTGGACCCCTCTACTTTTGTGAGTAAGGGGTGGGGATGGCGGAGTCCGCCCCTCCCCTGAGGCTGGGAGGGAGCTGAAAAACATTGTCACCGCCCACCGCCCTGTTGACATCAGTACCAGATGGGAAGCGGAGGGGGGGGAGGGACAGGGCTGAGGCTGTCTGCTGTCCTGCTTCAGGGATCCTGGGTAGACAGCCAGCAAGGACTCTGGCCTCTGGAAGTGCTCCAAATCTGGGAGCAGATTCTGGTACACAGGCCGTCGCCCTGTTCTTGCCTCCTCTACCGTCCTTTCCTGTCTGTTTGCCCCAGTACTCCATTTTTTTAAAAATAGCCATCAGCTCTGTGTGGAGGTCTAGCTCAGCGCTCGGCACCATCTTCATCACTGACAGAATTGAAAATAAAACAACCGCCAACTTTCTGCTCCTTCTATTCCACTTAAAAATCTTTTAAGATTACCTTAAGAAAACTGTTAGAATATAATTGGACGTGCATGTCTTTTAATGTCTTTCTTTTTAACACAGGGTCTTAGCCGAGCAATGGTGGCTCATGCTGTTAACCCCAGCTTTCTGTGTGAGTTTGAAGCCAGGCTGGTCTATGGAGTGAGCTCCAGGTCAGCCAGGGCTACACAGAGAAACCCTGTCTTGAAAAACAACAACAAAAAAGAACAGGGCCTTATGTAGCCCAGGCTGACTTTCTGGAAAGCCAGGCTATTCCTGACCTTCGCATCCTCCTACCTCTACACCCAAGTGCTGGGTTTACAGGGGTGCTTCGCTATGCCTGCTTTGTTTGTTTGCTTGTTTTGTTTTTTGAGACAAGGTTTCTTTCCGTAACCCTGGCTATCACTCTATAGAATTCACTCTGTAGACCAGGCTGGCCTGGAACTCAAAGATCCTCCTGCCTCCTGAGTGCTGGGATCACAGGCGTGCCCCACCACACCTAGCCTCACCCTGTCCGGTTTTGTGTGGTGCTAGTGATGGAACTAAGGCCTCAGCACATGGCAGGCACTTCAGCATCTGAGCTACATCGAAATGTCCATAGCTGCAATTCCTGGGTGCCTTGTTCTGTCCCCTGAGGACACGAGGCATGTATGTGGTACACACAGATACACCTACAGTCTAGGAAGATGGTTCAGCATGTAGAGTGCTTGCCACACAGCATGAGGACCTGAGGTGAGATCCCCAGAACTTGCATGGAGCCAGGGGCTTTATGTATAGGCAAATATGTGTGTGCGTGTGTGTATGTCTGTATACTATGTGTCTATAATCCTGAGGCTTTATGTATAGGCAAATATGTGTATGCATGTCTGTATGTATGCGTACTATGTGTCTATAATCCAGATGCTTCTGATGTGAGGTTGGAAACAAAGATAGACCCATGGAAGCTCCCAGGCCAGCTAGCCTCACACATTCAACGACAACCCACAGATTGACCTCAAACGAGGCAGAAGGCAAGGACCCGTACCTAATATTGTCTGACCCTACCAAGACCCACAGACACACAGACCCTTACCCGTGGCCCGGGTATATGTGCACATGAAGAATTTCCTTTCCAAAATCTCCCCTGAGATCACCTTACTGCTCTAAATTCCACAGAAGGGTATGAGAAGGGAATTAGGGGCTGGAGAGATGGCTCCGAGGTTAAGAGGAGTGACTGCTCTTCCAAAGGTTCCGAGTTCAACTCCTAGCAACCACATGATGGCTCACAACCATCTGTAATGAGATCTGGTGCCCTCTTGTGTCATGCAGGTGTACATGTAAGCAGAAATGTACATGTAAGCAGAAATCTGTATACATAATAAATAAAAAAATAAATAAGAAAAAAAGAATGGGATTAGATCCTAGTGACATTCGATATCTGATCGCACATTGTCTGAGGGAGGATTTTACTATTTTAAATAATTAATAGGTTTCAAAGAAATAAATGTATGGTCTGGTATATAGTTCAGTGGTAGAGCCCCTGCCTAGAATTCCCCAGTGAGGGGCTGGGGTGTGGCTCA